TGTTTATACAGGTGTCTATACAAGTGTTTACATGTGTTTATACAGGTGTATATACAAGTGTTTACATGTGTTTATACAGGTGTATATACAAGTGTTTACATGTGTTTATACAGGTGTCTATACAAGTGTTTACATGTGTTTATACAGGTGTATATACAAGTGTTTACATGTGTTTATACAGGTGTATAAACAGGTGTACCGTGTTGCCAGGTGAGCTGCAGCGCTGCAGTCTGAACTTGCTGTGGTTCTTTTTGCTGCGGCTCTTGTTCTTTCTGATCTCTTCGCAGCGCTCATAGTCAGACAGGTCCAGGACCTCATCGGCCCGACCCAGCTCCTTCACCTGCACACACAGGTCAGAAAACAGGTCAGAACACAGAACTCACATGTTGAGTAAAAGAGCAGAACCTGTATTTATTATTTATTATTTTGACTTAAAAGACACATGATCAAAGAGAACAGCCCCGCCCCTTTCCCCTCTTCATTCTGTGAAACTGTTGAAGAATCCACACCAGGTGTTTCTCAGGTGTTTGGAGCCTCAGAAGCTGATTCTGTCCATCAGAAAACCACTAAAGCGGGTTCTGCTGGGTCAGAACAGAGTCCGTCTCCATGGAAACAGCATCCATTATTAAGCAGCGTTAAACTGAGACTTCCTGGGAGGGAGGCCACACCTACCTCACACCTGTCTCACCTGGTCCAGACAGATTTTAGTTTGTCCAGGACTCAGAATTGATCTGATCCTCCAGGTCTTTGTTCTGACCCACAGACCCATCATCTGACGTTCTGTGATATCTGGTGTGTCCTGGTCCACGGAGACTTCCTGTCAGAGACTTCCTGTCAAAGACTTCCTGTCAAAGACTTCCTGTCAGAGACGTCCTGTCAGACTTCCTGTCAGAGACTTCCTGTCAGAGACTTCCTGTCAGAGACTTCCTGTCAAAGACTTCCTGTCAGACTTCCTGTCAGAGACTTCCTGTCAAAGACTTCCTGTCAGAGACTTCCTGTCAGACTTCCTGTCAGAGACTTCCTGTCAGACTTCCTGTCAAAGACTTCCTGTCAGGCTTCCTGTCAAAGACTTCCTGTCAAAGACTTCCTGTCAGAGACTTCCTGTCAGAGACGTCCTGTCAGACTTCCTGTCAAAGACTTCCTGTCAGGCTTCCTGTCAAAGACTTCCTGTCAAAGACTTCCTGTCAGACTTCCTGTCAAAGACTTCCTGTCAGGCTTCCTGTCAAAGACTTCCTGTCAAAGACTTCCTGTCAGACTTCCTGTCAAAGACTTCCTGTCAGGCTTCCTGTCAAAGACTTCCTGTCAAAGACTTCCTGTCAGACTTCCTGTCAAAGACTTCCTGTCAGGCTTCCTGTCAAAGACTTCCTGTCAAAGACTTCCTGTCAGAC